TGCCTTGAAATGTTTGCAGTGTTGTGCCTTTTCATGGTCAGACAGGATTCTGACATGAAAGGGGGGCACTGATGTGAAGAGGACTCGATGTGAAGGGGGGGGGGCTCCGATATGAAGGGCATGTGTAGTGTAAGAGGACTGATTACGGTGTGAAAGGAAGGGACTCCTGATGTGAAAGGTGGGGTTCATTACATTTTAGACTGGGGTGCCTCTAGATTTTGCATACTTTTAAAAGATGCTATGACTGAAAAAAGGTTGAGAGGATGATTGGAATTTAATCAAAATAATTAAAGACAATTGCACATTTAAAAATTGCTCACTCAGTATACCCATTTAACAGGACTTTGTCTTAGCTTTTATATTTTCTTTTTTTGTTAAGGATGTTCAGATACCAAGTACTGATACTTCTCCAGCTCCAAGACTAGACTAAAGAAAAACTCAAAAGTGCATCCCTGTTTTAATGTTGCATTTGCAACCTAGTTCTCGTGGAAATAACAAGTATCGGCACTGGTATCTGAGCATCTGTATTTTTTTTTTTATCAGCTTTCATATGAATCTACTAAGTGAAAGCTTTCTGAGAAGGTCAAGTCCTTGACTTTGACTGTTAGCAGCACATTCGAATGAAGACGTGTAAATTAGTGTAGATTTTGTTAATCCCATCAAGTGGCTTAAAGATTCAGCAAATCAAATGCGCTGGAAAGAAAATCCTGCAAAGTCTTCTAGAAGTCTTTAATGATCTGCCAGTTCTAGTGTTTGCCAGTATTAGCGTGCCAACTATGATGCCTGAAGAGATGTAGCCATCGTATATAGTTGCAGAGTTTTTTATGTTTGAAGATTCTTTAAATTAATATTTTGGAACCCATAGAAGATACTTTAAAGTAAAAGTGGCTTCTACCTAAAAGTAGTATTTGTAAAGGTTAGCAATAAACAGAAAAAAACGCAATGATGCAGTATTTTTTTTTTTTTATGTGGAAAATGTTTCCTCTGACACCAACATTAATATTAAGCCAATGGGCTTAATGACAAAGCTGGATTTGTTTGTTTTTTTGAAGCCTGATATAAGTCTTTTGGTGTTGCAATATCTATATATATGCATTCTATGTAATGAGATTATTATATATTAATGTTCATGTTTGTAGAGGCACTGGACTCGCTTTAGAATAAGTTACACTTGTATATGTCATTAGCGATAGGTTTTATCAGCCAGATCTAGTCACAGAAGTGTTGATTATGGTGTATTGGTGGTTGTCCATGTAATCTGAAAAGCCGCAAAAGGCATATTTGGTAGTCTTCATTTCCTAATCCACATGATGACCTAGAACCTGGAATGCTGTTACCTTTTAAGTTCATGATTACCTTATGTGTCCTTCATTTTTGGTCATTCCTTATAGCAGAGAAGTAGCATGTCGTAGCTAAGGATTGATAATATAATGGAGGCGGCCACGGTGCTATGATCATCTTATTGAACAGACCCTTTTTCCATCATAACATTTTCTGTCCTTACATATGCTTCTAGGGTAGACACCACAGTGCTGGCAGAGTTGGCTGCTGGCCTTGATTGAAGGGGGCATTGTAAATTTTAGAGGTGCACCGAAATGGAAATTTTGAAACCGAAATAAAAAAAATGTCAGGCTGAAACCGATACCGAAAATGTTTTTTATTTTTTCAAATTTTTTTAATATTTTATTTTTATTTATTTTTTTATAAACTTAGGGGGTGATGTAGATCACTCCCATTCATTCATAATTGAGGATATAGTTAACATATCATGTCCTCAATTACGTACACACACTCAGCGATCACTGAGTGTGCATACCTTGCTCTTCTCTCTGACACGCTGTCACAGGAGGCTGATCGAGCGGTGTAGAGAGGAAAGCCCAGCCTCCTGTGACAGCGTTGTCTCTGCCCCCACACCGCTCTGCCGGACTGTGATAGGCGGCAGAGTGGTTTGGGAGGAGACGCCGGCCGCTCACAGCACTCTCCACTCTCTCGGCCGGCTGTCACTTTCTCTTCTCCCCGCTGGGACATAGAGCAGCGCCCAGCGGGGAGGAAAGAAATCGGGGATGCGCCGATGCGGCTGATATGTTTCGGCGGGCGATATATCGGTGCATCCCTAGTAAATTTTATAGGTGAGCACCCTTTCCATGGCTTGTCTTGCTGCTGCACAATCTGTGATTTCTGTCTCTACTAGGTTAATATATGCACATGTGTACCAGTATGTTTGTTTAATGTCTTACTGTTGGAGGACTTACTGAGAGTCTTTCACAGGAAACAAAAACCAAAACTTGCCCATAATGTCACTCTGTCTAAGGACTTTACATGTGAAGCAACACATTAGAGTTCGAGAAATCACCTAATGACAATTGGAAGGCAAAGACCCCCTGTGTGTGCTATGAACACTATAAAGACAAATGATGAATGGTAATTTTTACTTTAGTTTCCCTGCCCCCCACCCCAAGAAAGCGACTGCTTAGGGACAATTGCCAATATTACCAAATACCAGACTGTCAGTTGTAACATTAAGCTGTACACAATAAGAGATACAGGAGCTTCCAGTGCTGTCTTTTATTTCAACGTCCAGTTGCCATAGTTTTAGGCCTCATTCACACTGTCGCGCATATACACGCATACGTGCGTATTGTACCATATGCAACACATGCAAATAAATGGCTCCATACACATACCCGCGTATGGAGCCGTATATGTGCGTAGCGTATATATATGCGCAAATAAAGAATGGAACAGAGATGCGTCCGGGCAGCGTATTTCTGCGTGTTTACACGCACATACGCGTGTTTACGCGCATATACGCGTATATAAGCTCTTATACGCACATACATGCGTACAGCACATTAAAAATTCCATTACGAGTGATGCATTCTGGGATTGCATATAGTGCACGGATATACGCAATATACAATTTGCGTTGTGTGTGAATGAGGCCTTATGTTCCACTTGCTTTACTTCAACTCAAGGCCCAAAACAAGTGTGCAGATCAGGAAAGTTGGAAGAAAAGTCAGACGTCCTTATCTGCATATGTGTTCAATGTCAAGGCTCCAAAAAGTATGGAAGGCCGAGACCGCCAGGCATCTAGCATTTAATGGTAGCCCTGCTTAGTGCTCTCATGACAGGTTTGCTTAAATGTACTATGCGCATTGGGAATGTTAGGTAAATCAGAGCAATATGGACTGCAGGGAGATGGAGAGCTTTGTGGGACTTGAGATGAAGATGCAGACATTGAGAAGGTTGGTAGCTGCTCCAGTAAACTTTTATTCTCTTTCCTGAGAAAAAGGGAGACAGCCTTCAGAGGCTTTGCATCTTGAGATAAACTTTACCCTTAAAGGAGAACTATGAGGTGAGTGCTTTTCACTCACCTCATAGTTCTAGCCGACCTGTGACAATGAGACTGTCACAGGTCGGCTCAGTAGATCGGGAGGTGAGCGAACACATACCGGCGTTCGCTCACCTCTCGATCCTGTCACGGCTCTCTGCCAGCTGTCAGTCACGCAGCTGGGCGGATCCCGGCATAATTGTCGGGATCCACTTCAGCTGCGGCGTCTCAGAATACCGCGAGCTGTAGCTGTATACTGAGCCTAGGGTGATGGGAGGACGCTAGTTTGTGTCCTCCCGTTACCCTAAGGAGAACTATGGGGAAAAGCCTTAACCCCATAGTTCTCCTTTAACTTTAAAATAAAAAAAGACATCTTTAGAAATGTTTATAAATGACAACATACAAACAATAATTGCAGGTGTTTTTATTCTTTGCATACCTTATTTTTCTTATTATTCTTCTCACAGGGGCTATTGTTACTAAGGGCAGATGAATCCTACTCCCTGGAAGTCTGGCACATATTATTATTATACAGGATTTATATAGAGCCAACAGTTTGTGCAGCGCTTTACAATATAAGGAGGACATTACTGTGTTGGGATGAATTGTTTGAGAACGTGATGGTACAGTGGTTAGGTTGAGGTGGGATAGGCTCCCCTTAGGAGATGAGTCTTTAGGGAACGCCTAAAGGCAGTCAAGGTGGGAGATAGATGGACAGGTTGGGGTAAAGAGTTCCAGAGGATGGGAGAGACTCTAGAGAAGTCCTGGAGGCGAGTATGGGAGGAGTTGACAAGGGAGCTGGAAAGCAGGAGGTCTTCGGAGGAGCGGAGGGGATGGTTAGGGTGATATTTTGAGACAAGGTCTGAGATATATCCGGGGGCAGAGTTGTGGATGGCTTTATAAGTGACTTAATATTTTGAATTTTATCCTCTGGGCGAGTGGTAGCCAGTGCAGGGATTATGACTATGACATGTGACCATGCACATCATCTCAGAATGGAAAAATGCTTATGAGATTTCCCAGCATTGCACTGTGATGCTGAACGATGTGATTTTTAGTGAGAGGGGGTAAGGGGGCGGCCTTAATGTCACTTTATCACGCTGACTCTGGGTTCTGGTCAACACCTTCTGCTACTGCCCAGCTGCTGTCAGGGTAGGCAGAAATGATTCCATTATTGCTCTTTAGGATCGGGTATAGCAACCTGGCATCACAACAAAAAAGATTCTTTCTGCACATATATAAAACTACATAATAACAGCATTCATTTGGTTTGAGTGTGTTTGTTGTGCTCAGCATACACTTTGATTACGTTGCAATGTCTTTTCAGTACATCATCATTATTATGGGATTAAAAAAAAGAAATGCGTTACTCAGGCATATATATATTATTTGGTACAAAGAAGACCTTTTCCACCTACATGCAGGTGTCATCTTGCTTCAGATAGGTAGTGGAATAGTCACCTCCAGATGACCTCCCCCCATGACTTTCGTCTGGTCCAGTGCTCTGGTTTCCATTTTGAAGTATTCGTTCAGGTGAATGGTAGTAAAACAACAAGTTATTTTCACACAAAGGAGCACTTTGGTCGTGACGGCATCTTCCACACAAGACACCTTGTAAATGCCTGAGATAGGAGGAGTAAACAGCTGTGATTCTGTTTTTACAGGAAGGATGCCGGCGTCTTGGCAACAGCTGAGAAACTTGGCAATTTTTTTCGGTGTGATGTCTTCATCAGGATGTGCCACCATGTATTATCTGATACAAAGTAAGTGCATATAATGTATTGATTGTTTTCTTACCAGTCCCTGCCAAGATGATTTGTTAAAAGGTAACTATTTGAAAAGTAGGAATCACATAGGTATTTGGTCAGTGGGACTGCCCCATCATAGAGATTGGTTTATAGGATATAAACCAACCCCCCCCCCCCCCCCCCCCCCACTGAGGCCGATCGTCACCATCTGCACAGACAATCACTCACCAACCCCCCCCCCCCCCCCCCCCATAGATAAAACAAGCATTTAATCCTTGCAGTGGGGGCACTGCAAGGATTAAATGCTTGTTTTATCTATGGGGCTTAAAAAAAAAAAGCAGATATACTCACCTGATCTTCAGTTATTCTGGGCTGCTAGACTGGTGCCTGCACCAAGGGACATTTCAGTGCTGAACCAGAGGTGAGACAAACTGAAAACTTGATCCTTGCAGTGCGGGAGTAGCCCCTGCAAGGGTATTTTTTTAATCTATCTGGAGTTCTTTTTTAACAGCAGCTCCCTGCTGCTGCCGCCGCCATCATCATGGTATAGTTGCATCAGTGTGTAACATGAGTGCAGTCAAGGGCTGATATTTAGGCATAGCTAGCTAATTAGGGACCCTACTGAACACCGATCGTACCCTTTTGTAGGAAGCCCATCTGGCACTGCAGTGCTATGGTATTGGCAGCTTAAGGGAATCCGGAGCTGCTCTCCGGTATGCTTTTGCCAGATTACTATGTTGTATTAGTGATAAGGAAGAATGGGTTGTAAAATAGTATAGATTACCAGGGTTTTACTCTGCTTTAACAAACTGCAATATGTCAGTCTCCTCTTCAGTCTGTATATTGTGAATTGAAACGATATATTTTTATTTAGAAATTCATTCCTTTTTTTTTATTGCAGAATCATTTACCAAGAAAGAATATTTCACAGAGGCTATTGAGAAGCTGGAGTCTCAACCCAGTGCACTAGAGATTATAGGAGCACCACCTCTCAAAGTCCACCATCTCAAACTGATGGACAAATACAACCACGTAGACAAGTCAACAGCTCAGGTTGGTTTTCTATAGTAGTGATAGATGCTTTTTTTTCTGCAGTTAATCTCCGACACTTTATTTTTGATTCTCACCAACTTCTTTCTGCAGTTTACACTGGACCCCTAAATATCTGAAAACTGGGAGAAACCTAAACCCTTAGAACCCCTAAACCACTACCCTGATGTGCCAAGCCAGCTTCATACTGCATCGAAACTGTCTTGTCTTTGCTACCCCCCTCCCTAAGCAAATCCATATTTATTAGTGTCTAGGTCAAAAGATTACACACCAATTTCGTTTTTTCCTTTTTGTTGTCAGGCCACATCTAGACTTTAAAGATTACATCGAGCAAAAGAACTAAAGGAGTAAAAGGACACTGCAAGGAGTTGCGAGAACCTAAGTAGGCCAGATAACATAAAAACATCTCCCTTTGTTCTTGTTTGGTGGCCTGTACTTATATTATAGCATAATAGTGCTATATTGTGTGTATAAAGGCATAAACTTGCTGTATTTAAAAAGAGGCCGAGTCTGTATATAAAGTTCATGTGTCTGTACAGCAGCGCATTATAGAAATAAAGTCCTTTAGGGTACGGCAGTAGGAATTTCCTGTGAAACAACAAATCCATGATGAAGCAGTTTAGCCAGACTATTATGCAGATATTATCAGATTATGTAATGGCCCCGGTTTCTTTTTACAGACAATGCCATGCTATTTCTTGTACTATACATTTAAGCAAATTAGGGGAGTTTAAAAACCATTCAACTTATGCAGGCCAATGAATCCAACATATTTATCTACTACCACGTTTTTGGAGCTAGGACTCTGCGTTGCTTCTTGTCATTCAGAATGCAATTTTACAATTAGGTGACAAAGACAAAAGTGAATATCAGTATTTTCCCAATGGGATTCATGTTCCAAAAGTAACATCACTTCTGTCTAGTTTACAGGTGTGTGTCAATACTTTGGTATTTAAAGAGAGCTATTTCAGCTTTCTAAATGATATGTTTATGGCGTTATGTAGCATTTCACACAAGCTTTATGGTATCACCACTGACATCACCTACTCAACCCACAACTGCCTTGAAAACCTCAGCTCCACTCTTTCCAGCCGCACTAGCTAAAAGACTTTGTCTACTGCATTGTGTACAAACTATGAGCCAACAGCTGGTATCACCCTATGTGTAAGCCTTGAAGCACACACCAAGAACATTAATAATACCCTCCACAATGTAAATAAGCCCCTACTAATCCCCTCCTGAAACCCTTTCTCCAACCTCCCCCATTCTTCCAACTTTATCTGCCACTTGACCAAAAGCTCTCCTCGGCCTTGTGATCACAGTTGTGAC